AGATAGATAGATAGATAGATAGATAGATAGATAGATAGATAGATAGATAGATATGTGAAAACATATATACCTATCTATCATATCATATCTATCTATGTATCTATGATCTATCTATCATCTCTCATCTATCTATCTATCTATCTATTTATCTATCTATCTATCTATCTATCTATCTATCTATCTATCTATCTTATAAAATTGATAGGCCACCCATCTTACCTCAAGATAACTGTGGACAGTTTACAATCATAAAAGATAAAAACTACAGTATGTAAACTAAAAACATAAATAAGTTAATACAAAATCAAATCCAAACACTACAGCCAAATTAAAAGGTGGGAAGGATGGGAGCAGGTTGGGGGGTGAGGTGGGATCTATTGTTAATTGATTAACTGCCTCTATTGTGATGGTCCATCATTGGACCCCTAAGCTAACTGGAAATGCCAGATCTTTAGGCTCTTATGGAAGGTCAGGAAGGTTGGGGCCGACTTCATGACCTATACTATTATACATTTACATTAGATGTGTGGCTGAGCCAATATTCTGGTTTTGCTAATTGTTATTGGTTTTTTCTCAGCTTCTGTATGTGTTATTTATAAGTTTGCTCTGTGTTTTTTTTCCCTTGTTTTTAAGTATTATTTTTAAATAGATCTGAATTTGAGATGGGCAATCTTACAACATGAATAAATATGCAAATAGTTAAGCCTTTTCTGAACAGTACTTTTTTGACTCCAACAGTGAGAGAAAGGAAGTAGCTAACTTCATTGTTTAATATTCTAATGCTTCTAAATAGACATAAATCAATTTTCATAGCTTCCATAACGATCACTTCCATTGTATACTTACCGTGGAGAATATTTCCTTCTTTTTCCGCCTTCATAAACTGCCACACTTTTTTCTAAACAACTTATCCCTACACTGGGCATAAATCATGAACTGAACGGTTGGTTGAGGAGATAAAATAGAATATCAAAAAGAAAATAATTAAAAGTTGAGATCTCATGAATGGCAAAGACATTCTCAATCCATCTGGCCATAAATGAAATGAAGCACAATCTGAACTATAGGAATGCATTGTATTTGTGTAATAAAACTGTTGAAAGGTTTAGTACAAAATAATTATCTTATTAAAATAATCTTCCTGGAAAGAGATTTCTTATTTAGAGATATCTTTTTTTTTCAACAGAGATCCCAAAATCCAGCTATAATTAATTGTATTTACTCTCATATAAAAGTAAATCCTACTGTACCCAGTAGAGGTAACATATCTGAGTAAACATTTTTGATAACAGACTATTATAAATGCCTTTGAAAACAATTAACCAGTTAGCTACAGGTAACTAATTTCACTTTGAAAGGGCTCTAGTCATAAGCAATTATGAGTAACTGCAAGTATGAGTTTTACTCTGTGTGTGCGTGTGTGTGCATGTGTGTTTTAAATCAAGATCCTTCAAAGGAGATTACTTTAGGTTTTATATTTTAATACATTTATCTTGTAAATACTGAGAAACAAAACTAATCTGATATGAAAATAAAATAACATAATCCTGGCTAAGAATTATCTTTAATTTCTGGACAACCCTTTGAAAAAGTCCATCTCATAGAGCTAGAAAGCAGTGCAAAAATTGACAATTGCATTTTGAATACTGCTGCTACTACTACTACTACTACTACTACTACTACTACTACTACTACTACTGGCATACATGCTACCTGGGAATCAGAAAGCAAGTTGTTCTAGAATTTCTTCTCCATCCTTGTTTATTCTTTGTTGTTGTGACTTCTTCAAGGATTCCTTTAAATGTTCTAGTAAGTGTCAAGCAGAACTTGATATGTGATGTCTTTGGGTCGAGATGGTGGCTGCAGATATGGGAGAATGATTGCCCGGCAGTAAAGCAGAAGAAATAGTCACCAGGACTATTCTCAAATTACATTCTATACAGTCTCTTCTTTAGCTAAACTCATTTTATAAGACTGACAATAGTATGATGTGTCTCTCCAAATTCTCTGCCCCACAAAGAAGAGGGGTATAATACTATGAATAACAATTTCCAAAGATTTTCAGTGATTTTTCCAAAACCAGGACAAAAAGAGATTCACTATAAGAAATTTCTTTGCTTCCTTCCTTCCTTGCTTGTTTCTTTACACCTAATCTTTATCCTTTCCCCATTCCAGTCCCAAAAGTATAAAGTAAGTACTAGGTAGATAAATTGCCATATTGATTACCTTTTCCTGAAACAAACCACTGATCTCATACTAAAACGTGTAATTATTGTATTTCAACCCAGCCCTGAAAAATTCTGCGTAAAATCAAACTGTGAATAAGAAACAATCTTTGACCTTCCATTATGCACTTGTTGCGATGGGAATCACACAGGACTGCTCATTTTTAAATATTTACAATTTCTTATATAGTGCCATCAAAAGTTATCAGGCAAGATAATAAGATTCTGTACTGCTCTGTCTCCATTGTTGTTTTTTCATTCTTCCTTTTAAGATCTTCCCATTTATTAGCATGTATGGCTTTAACCAGTAAATTGAGCTACATTGGTTAGGATACTGGATATAACCCCAGGCTCAACTCCTTACTCGGCCACTCACTCTTGGCTCACAAGATTGTTATGAATAAATAATGAAGACACAAGACACACTGTGGTGGTCTTGAGCCCCAGGATAAGAATATAAATCCAAGAAATAATAAACTCTATAAATAATCAGGCTTCTTCTGGTGTTGGAGTTATGATTTCCAGAGTTCCCAGCACATATCTGAAATCCTCAGATGTCTGGAGGGCAACAGGCATGACAGATTGATAGCATATATGATAGGCAAACAGTTTAAGACAGTGGTTTTTAAACTGTTTGACTCAATAACCCCTTTTCTGGTCTCAAATAATGTCATTATACCCACCAAAAAAAAGTAAAAAAATAAATCCAGATTCATTTATTTTGCACAAGCATCTCGGCAGCAGTAATCTCAATCTTGTTCCTTGACACACAAATAAAACAATTACAAAGTGCTCCATTGCTCCCTTGGTAATTAACCCCCGCACACACATTAAGAACCACAAGTCTAACAGAAAGCCATTTTCATTAGTTATTTATGGGTTATTTTTCAGTCAAGTAGACCTGTATTGAAGTATATGGCTGCATTGTATAATGAGTGAGTGATGGAACAACCAATCAAATATTGGCAACACTCTTGCCAGGTTATATTGTAGTGGGAAGAGGGACCTCAGGGGAAAGGATGTGGGAGGGGCAGGTGGACCAACAGGTTTGAGCGGGTCTCAATCCAAGCCTAGGATTAGCTCCCCATCGGGAAATGTGATTGGGAATAATGTTAGAGTTGGCTAGAATTTATGGGATATAAATCATTTGTAAAAATAAGTGAATCAGTTTTAAACTGATTCGTTTTACTTGATAAAAGTCCATTTGTTTAGGGGATATCCAAGCTTCTATGCTACCTTATATCTTGTCCACATTCTATTTAGTTAACTTAGAAACTTTAAAAAATAAATCAACCCTCAGGCTCCCACAACATGGAAGCCTTGTGATGTATGTGATAGACCTTTGCAGAGACCACTTGTGCTTGCTTTGCTTTCCCCTGCTT